ATATAAAGATTCTACTAAAAATAGACATCAAATAGACATCAATAGACAAAATAGACATCAATTGCTGAGAAATAGAATTTATATTAATCTCATGTGCTATCTTTTTTGAGATATAATACAGGATACTTGTTGGATTTGGTTTAATGCTTTTTATATCTGCAGTGGAAGATGGAGGTTAGTGGCAATTGCACATATCAGAGGCATGCGATTTTTAATGTGTATTGTAGGGCTGCTATTCCTTCTAAAGGATCATCATTAATCCATTTTTATTACTGGAGGCATAAATTGCCTAAGCAACCTGAATAGCCTTTTTCCAGCCTAGGATAGTAAGTCAACTATGCATTTATAGGACAGAGAAAGTTCTTCCTTGGTTATCTGTGCTCTGATAATCACAGGGACTGGGCTATCTTTCAAAAGATTATGGATGTGTCAATTAGTTATGAGTAGAACTGAGAGACCATGAACCAAGTATGAGAGAAATGAATAAACCCCATCATTCTTGCCATCCTCAAGGTCTCCTATTTGATTTTCATGTGTAATTCAATAGATAACCTTTACACTTTTTTCATAGGTTGGGACAAAGTATCTATAAGGTCATCTCTGTTTACAACCACAAGCAGAGGTGGACTGCTACCAGTTTGTACCAGTTCTCCCAAATCAGATGTTAATTTTCTGAGCAGTTCGGAAAACCAGTTGTTGGAAGAAATCTTTTCTCACTTTACAGGGCTAATTCTGCAAGGAAGGCAGGAAAGAAACATTCTGATATGGCTGTATTTCTAGCCTAATCCTTATCTTAATTGCCCTGCTGCTTTAAGTGTTTTCAGAAACTGCTTCTGGGTTAAGCTTGATACATTGTAAGCCTTATGCCCAGACTTTCTGTCTGTAGACTGAGCTTCTCCGGAGTCCACCCTCCCCCCCCCTCCCCGAGTTTTTTGTGGTACTTTTATTCCTGGGCTTGACTTTCTTAAAGATTGTTAAAGGGTTGTTTTAAGCTTTTTGGAGTATACTTCCAACACAGTTGGGTAAGCTATTTAGAGAAAGGTTGGCATAGCCATAGAAGAAATGGCTGAGAGGCAGGATGCAAACTTGGCATTCCGTCTGATTTTTTTACTGCCTTTCTGAGGGCATGTGGTCTTTCCTTAAATCGGGATGATTACCTAAGGATATCTTGTTAGGTGAGTAAGACCAGCTGGTATCTTTAAGTGGTGCAAATGGATCTAATGATTGCTTCTCCTGGGTGGGAAACTGCACTTTGTCAGTTCACTGAGCACAGAAGTCTCTTGTCTATCAGGATTCTTCAGTCATCCAGGTCATGGTTGTCCCAAAGGTGCTTTTTCAAGAGGCAACTGGACTTTCTTGGTTTCCAGAAAGTCCAGTTGCCTCTTGAAAAAGCACCCTTGGGACAGGAGACTCTTGCATTGCTTCAGAGTGGGCAAGGCACATGATTGCTCACTGATAATAAGTGGATCCTCCTTCCAATTTGTTTTAGTTCTCTCTCATGATAATATGGCATAGTAACATGGCATCAATTGTAGAAAGTTAGCACCCACCCCTCTCCTAGAAGAATGAAATATTTTGAGAAATATTAAAAAGAATATATTTTCCTGAATGAGAAATGGAGAAACATGTTTTCTTAGAGGGAGAAAGCAGCCCCCACCTTCCTTAATAGCTCACAGAAGATGTCAGCACTTAAGAGATAAAGAGATAGATAGCTATATTCATAGGCAAAAATTCCCTGCAGCAAGGTCTGAACAAAGGCAGAATGAGGTTAGCCCTCATTCAAAATATTAATTTGTTAATTTGTCTCTTTAGCTCAGCATTTTGTAGCCCAAATATGCTTGCCCACTTTCTGGAGATCTTAAATGACCTCTCTACTAAAGGGTTTCACTTTATGAGCAAGAGTAACTTGGCTGCTGATAGTTATCCTTGGATTTTAACTATTTTAATTCCTCAATGTACTCTGGCAACCTGCCCAATTTGTAACTCCAGGCTGCAGATATTGCTGAGAAAAGGAAGGTATTCAGACAAAATGGTTTAAGTTTCCATGATGGCTGTGACTCATTGATCTTCAGTGTATATTCCCCCATTTCTAATCTAATGACTGGTATTTAGGGAAGCTTTTTGCAAGCAAAGAAGCTTTTTGAATTTTTGTACAGGTAATCCTTGACTTGCAACAGTTCATTTAGTGACCATTCAAAGTTACAGGGACACTGAAAAAAGTGACTTATGTCTGTTTTTCACACTTAAAACCATTGCAGCACCCCCACGGTCATGATAGGGTGGGGGAGGCAAAGCACCCCTCGACGTAAGTGACATTGAATTGGCCATGCCCACCCAGCCATGCTCACCCAGCCATGCCCACCCAGTCAGTCATTAGGGCAGAGAACCGGTTGTTAAAAATTTTGCAGCCCACCACTGGCCACAAGCTTTATATTTTGCTTTGATTTAGCAATATAAACTGTAAGTAAAGTGAAATACTATTCATAAATAAGACAGCAATATGACATAGGAATGATTGAAAAAGAAAAAAAGGGGGGAAGGCAACTAATTTGCTCAGGTAGTATTGATAGACTAAATATTGCACTTTATATGAAGTGTATATGAAGGCTGTGAGATTCAGAAGCAAAAGGTATTTTTGTAAATTTAGCACCTCTCTACATCTCTTTAAACCAAGTACATCTTTTCCTGAGGGCATAGGATCATAAGAAAAGGCATAGTATTTTTAAGAGTTGAAGACAGGTGCTACATTTATGCCCTGAAGCAACGTTTTGCCTTCAAGTCTGATTTTGTGCATAGTTCTACTATCAGTGCAACACTAATGTTCACCCAAAAACAAGGGCATAAATAATATATAAAATTCACAGAAAGAAATAATCTGTAATGTTGTTGTGACATGGCCTGGTGAATAAGCAATCCTTATTCACCAGGCCATGTCAATTGGGAGTTTGTTTTGAAATGCACCCATATTCAATACATGCTTTTAACAATTTTTAAGTATTATATTTACATTTATTTGAGGTATAGACTAAAAACTAAACTTTTTGTGCAAAAGTAGGATTTAACAAGAGATGGTTTTAAAGTTCATTCCAAGTGGCAGTGACATCAAAACGCATGCCTAAAATAGAGCATTTGTCTGCTTATTGAACAGATATTTGTACTAAAAAGAACTTTGATAGAGAATGAAGAGTATTCAAAAGAACCACCATTCACTTAATTTTGAGTAAGATCTCCAAAGACCTCCAAAACATTACTAAACTGTGTTTTTAAAGGGGAAAATTACTTACTTATGGCTGAGTGGCACTTACAGTTTAGATTGTCAATTGCCATGAATAAGTAGTAATTACACTAAGTATGTTTAATTTTTATTAAATAAAATGTAAATGACATGAAATTAGTTTGAGATTTAGTCCTAGATATACCCACCATTGTTTTGCAGTACATCTCACAAAATGCAGATCACCAGTTAAGTGGAGTCTAAAGCTTAAAAAAGTTGAACATCTCTATTATCCCCAGTAAAGATTATAAAAACCAGCATTATTTATATTTAAAAGCTAGAATGTTAAATTTCAAAGAGGGCATTTTGAAAATAAACTAGGAATTGTATCATTTACAAATATGATATGCATACCACACTCAACTTGAGTTTCCTTTGTCTACTCCAACATTCAGTCTAGAAGATCTCACATTATAGTTAATGAGTAGCACCTATCCAAAACTATCTTTCTCTGATGTATAACTGTTGGTAAAGTATACTATCTAAGCAATATTTATTTATTTAGAGTACTTATATCTTGCTTTTCTCATTTTTACTGATTTGTAACATTTACAACATTTTGCTGGCTCATTTTAAATAAAGGATAAAAGAGCAATTGATGGACTAAATAAAACATAAAACCACCTAATAAAAAAAGACAACATAACAGAAAAACAAAACTCTCAACAACTTTCGATGACATTAAAAAATTACAAAGCCTGAGTCAATAACCAGTCCTCAAGGAAGATGCTGAGGGTTTATAACTAGTAAGGCTTTTCTTTGAGTAGCACATTACTATTCCCTTTCCTTGATTAATAACATTAGACTTCAAGGAACAAAAGCAGTAGGTTTTAAAACTTGGCCTAAACATTGACTAGAAGATAGTGCACCAGTTTGAATATGGATGTGAAGTAGTTAAAATATCCTTCCTCTATTAATAATTTGATGGCCCTATTCTGAATCAGCAGACATTTCTGAAATCTCCGACTCACAAAACACAGCGCAATAATCTAAATAGGTTGTCAAACTATGCAGCTGCCACCCAAGATTGGTAAAAGGTCACTTCAACCTTAAAAGGCATCAGAACACCTAAGAGCAATGCTGGATCAGTAGCCCACATCAGATAACAAACCTCAAAAATATGCTGATAGATATAAGAATTTTTTAAAAGGCACACACTCCATAAACTAATAGATGAATAATGGAAATTAATAAAAACGTGCCTTTAAAACTATAACAGAAAATTAGCAAAGACATTGGAACGAAACTGGAATCACCTGATTCCAAAAGTACAACTTTGGAGAATGAAATGATTTGAGGTTGCTCCAAAAATATGACATCACTAGAAAAGTAATGGATTATTACATTATCACATCGATATTACAGCTCACTGAAATCCACTGAAAGTGACACCTAATTTAAAACTCATTTATTTCAATAAGGACTATATACAGTTTAGTCTAGATCTAGCTCTGTATCTCTAAAACATTCAGGGGTTGCTAATGGAATCTGCAAGCCTTAGTTTCTGAAGATATCATTGTCCTCTCACTAGACACACACACACTGAGGGGGGGGGGATCATGACACAATCTGGTCTTTGTCAGATATAAATGAAACTTTTCCCTTTCAACTACATAATAAGAAACAGTTTAGTACCATAAGATCCATAATCTAAAATACATTAGAGCTACTGTAAAATTGAATATAGAAGAAATTCATAGAAGAGTAGCAATATTATTTTAAATACCATGACTGTTGCATCGGGATGTTTCAACAAGTCTACTGCTTTGATCATAACAAGCCATGGCTTGATAACGGTAGCCTTGTCCACACTCTTTGATGTCTCCTTGAACTTTCATTCCCATAAGTATGTCTACTTTGCCTTCAGGTAATATACAGTCTGACCAGTTCCCAACTGGTTGGGCATTGTATTTGTCACACTGGCAGAATTGGGTCTCAATGAGTGGATACAGTTGAGGATTCTTACATTTCTCTTTCTTCTTACTTTTCCCTGAAAGAGAGAGAAAGAGTTTCAAAAAGTGCTTTCTTGAATCTGATCTAAAATTTGGTTCATACTTTGTGGTTGATTCAATATTTAATCAAAATTAACATTAAAATGTCTGAAAGAGGGATGCCTGAGGGGGAGGTTTTAAAAAAATAAAGATGCCAATCATATCTATGCATTTAAAGCTCCGCCCTTTTTACATCAGATGCCACACATGTGAAAAGAACAGGATTTGATTGCATTTTTGTAGCTGTCATGTTGCCTTTTTACATGTATCCCTATGAACACCACTAAATTTAAGACCCACTGCTTATAATTTATCAATGCTAAATACAATTTATTTCCCAGTCAGTACAATTATCATTACTCATACCACCAACACTACTACCAAAAATACAGATGCAGATATTTGCATTAATTCTTACCAATTAGTAAGCGCTTCCTTGTTCTAACTGATCCACAGTCCACACCGCAGGCAGAAAATTTTGACCAGGTTGTGAACAGGCAGTCATCTTGACAAGGAATTTGGCAGAGTTGTGTTAAGGGTGGTAAAGGCCCTGCATATTTGAGGCATTCACCAATATCAGCCTGACTGCCATCTTGTTTGCGACATGTAATAGCTGGAAGCAGGAAAGCAGAAGGAATTATAACAAACTGACAGGCCTTTTATTGGTTAGACAACGTAGCAGCTAACAATAGGCACCCACATTTGATTTAGAAGCTAGGCAATATGTTCATGAATAATATTATTTCCCCTGGGAACTCTCCACAATGGATTTATTTTCAAATATTAGGAAACACAGAATAATGCATATCTCCCATATAATACAAATCAGCAGTTGACCCACATAAAGCGACATAGAAATACAATACAAGTATACTGTGAAGGAAAGAATAATACTATATATTATTCCCCACTTTACAGCATAATTTAACTTCTATGTATAGTTAATTCTAAGAATAATAGATTTACGGAGAAAAAAAACCTTGATTCTTGCTCCAATTCTAAATATACTAGGATTATGCATATGTAAAAAAAATTAAATCTGGAAACAGCTCCTCTTGGAAAATAAAATTGGTAGGAAAGCAGAAACAACATGCATCTGAATGAATGAAGTTTAACAAAACACAAAAAATCTCCTTTCCAATAACAAAGAAATTTTAGACATGAAAACATTTGAAATACCATTTCAAGGCATTTGATAATAGAATACATACCTATATCTTACAAAGAACAAGATAGAGTTCCTTTGAAAGAGTCTATTGGAATGATATTTCATTTCATGCCATAAACCAAGTGCTATTTTTGACTAGCAATTCTACCACTTCATAAAACTCTTAATAAGCCATGGACAACTCATTGTCTCCAGCATCTTGTCATGCAACAGAGAAAAGGCTGCCTGTTCCAATTCTATATAAAAAGCAAAAACTAAATGAAATGCTTTTGGTAGCTAGCCATACTCCCTGTATTAAGGAGATTTTCTTGCTAATGTGTCATGCTGATTTTTTAAAAAATGCTTCCAATAATGTACGGACTGAGATCTAGGAGGAGATTATTTTATTTTGCAAATAAGACCTTCCCAAGAATTAAAATTTCAATTACATTCATTCAGCCAAGGCCAGGTAGTCCTCAATTTATGACCATAACTGAGCCCAAAGTTTCTTTTGCTAAATGAGGCGGGCCCACAGGAAAGTATCAGAAGCTAATAAACTACAAGTTTGTTCGCATGAAATATAATCATCCATATGTCTTACATTGCCTATATACAACATCTAGAGCAGGACAAAGGGGAAAACACCAGTTCCTCAGACCACCTCAGCTGCAGGTAGACCATGAGATACAGGCAAAATTATTGAGGTAATATCTTCTGAAAAATTAGATTTGCCCTTAGGTATCTCAAAGCTGTGTCAGAAATAAATCAGTTTGGCTGCGCAGACGATAGTGTAAGAATATACTAATATGAAATTGATTCGGGAATGGGAGAGTGCTCACAATGTGAGACTGCTCACACATCTGATGGCTATCTGGCATGAAATGAATTATTGCTGTCAAGGTATATATATAGGTAGCATTCCCTAATCCCCAAATATCTTTGTTATTAACAAAAAGTGTTAATGAGAAATTATTTAATAAGCTATACAAGAAAAGCTGTGGTAAGCAAAATAATAGTATGCTTATATGTCAGTCCATGAAAATCTTAAATTTATACATTCTAAAACAATTTTAGTTGCACATTCTGTCATCCAAGTCCACCATTTTACTTACACAGTGCAAATAGCATTTGAGACTAGAAATCAGTCTCTTATCACATTGTGCCAGGCTAATAATTAATCACTCTGTTCACATTAAATTGATTACAAGCATTAACACTAAGAATCAGAAATGTGCTTATTCTGGATTAACCATGAAGAATTGAAAAATACTCCAATAAACCTCAAGGACGCAATTGCCAATTATATCCAATTTAACAAGCATCTAGTTCACTTAACATACTATTCACTTGCTTGACATCTCAGGTTTCCTAAAAGAGTTATCTGAAATAAACTGCACTTCTAATTTTGCAGACGGAAAACTGATATAATTATAGCTGATAGTATTGTTTAAACTGTACCACAAGGGGACCTGGACTCATAAATTAATATTATGTGGATAATTAAATACAAAGTCTGTCCTGTGTATGAAAATCATTTTTAATGAAAAAAAATCCCTAAACCATTTATATTGTATAGTCAAATACAACCAAATTATACAAGCTATAAAAAAAAATGTCTGAAGTTATTAAATTGTTTTAAGGTATTTTATATTTCATACAAATTATGCATTATTTATTTATGTATATTTATAATTGCCTGTTATCTTCAAAGACAAAACTTTCATGACCCCACTTTTTCTTTTTAAAGCACATATTAACTTTGAAAATATATGATAAAATATTGAAAATGCCATATTCTTCTATGAAAAGATTCTCAGCCTGATGTTCCCCCAGCATATTATAGGCCAATTTCCGCTGTGCAATACTGTACAAAATTGTTATGCAGTTGTGCAAAAATGCTGTGAATTAAGAATGTTTTCAAAAATAGAAGTGCCAATAGTTTCTTTTTATCAATTAACAAAATGGAAAATAAATAACAGAAGAGAAATCTAAATCAAATAAATGTTTGTTGTGACCATCCTTTGTCTTCAAAACAGCATCAATTCTTACACTCGCACAAAGCCAGGGATTTTGTAGGATTAGAGTCAGGTGTATGATTAACCAATTATACCAGGAAGGTGCTAATGATCATCCATTTCATATGTAAGTTGAAACACAATAATTAACTGGAACAGAAACAGCTGTGTACGAGACTTAAAACTGGGTGAGGAACAGCCAACTGCTACTAAGCTGAGGTTGTGGAAAACAGTTTCATGTCACAGGTCATACACCATGGAAAAACTGAGCACAAAAACAAGACATAAGGTAAGCTATACTGCATTAGCAAGGCAGATTTTCAAGCAGACTGGGGTTTCCAAATGTGCTGTTCAAGCTCTTTTGAAGAACAACGAAGAAATGGGCAACACTGAAAACCGTAGATGCAGTGATTGACCAAGGAAACTTAATGCACAGATGAAAGACACATCATACTTACTTCCCTTCAACATTGGCAGTGCCATCACAACATATTTGGTGGAAACTAGCGGGACCCATGTATACCCATCTACTGCCCAGAAAAGTCTGGCCAGAAGTGGTCTTCATGGAAGAATTGTGGCCAAAAAGCCATACAGCCAAAATGGAAATGCTAAGTGACTCAACAATTCATGAAAACATAGGAACTGGGGTGCAGAAAAAATGACACCAGGTGCTCTGACTGATGAGTCAAAATTGGAAAGATTTGGCTGTAGCAGGAGGCAATTTGTTCACCAAAGGGCCGGAGAATGGTATAATAATGAGTATCTGCAGGCAACAGTGAAACCTTGCAAGTTTGGAGCTGCATTTCTGCAAATGGAGTTGGATATTTGGTCAGGGTCAGTGGTGTCCTCAATGCTGAGAAATACAGGAAGATACCTATCCATCATGCTATACCACCAGGGAGGTGTATGATTGGCCCCAAATTTATTCTGCAGCTGGACAATGGCCCCAAACATACAGCCAAGGTCATTAAGAACTATCTTCAGCATAAATATAAACAAGAAATCCTGAAAGTGGTGGATCTCAACATCATTGAGTCTTTTTTGGGATTCCATGAAGAGACAAAAGGATTTGAGACAGCCTACATCCATAGAATATCTGTGGTTAGTTTTTCAAGATGTTTGGAACAACCTTGAAGGAATGTTGCTAAATTCCTTCAAAAATGCTGTGCAAGGGTATCTAGAAGAATTGATGCTGTTTTGAAGGCAAAGGATGGTCACACCAAATATTCATTTGATTTAGATTTCTTTCCTGTTAATTTACTTTCCATTTTGTTAATTGATAAAAAAAATAAACTATTAACGATTCTGAGAGCATTCTTAACTTACAGCATTTTTGCATAACTGCCTAACATTTTTGCGTAGCACAGTGAGTTTGTGTATGTATACACATACACACACACACACACAAATAATCCACACATTTTGTTTATAGATAAATACATAATGACTAATGATAAACACAGAATGACTAATCTCCGGAATTTGTAAATCAATCTATTCAAAAGATCTGCATCTAGCTATCTATAAAGTTTGATTCTCTTTTTCTGTGTATCATGAATTTTTTTTTGAAAAATAAATTGAAAAAGTGTAAGGAGTAAGAAGTCATGACTCCTTCCACTGTTTTTACCTAGATATATTAATGTATGTCAAATACTTAATTAAACTAAACTAACTAAGGCTTTCACATAAAAATGTTACATCTTTGGAAATTTGCTCTTTTCATGTTAGTTTTTGATTGAACAGATACCTTCTCTGTCCTTGTTGCAGGTTTTGACTAAGTAACACCATTTTGATTTTTCTAAGTTCAGCTTTCATTTGGAAGAAATATATTTTATTTATTATTTTACAAGGAAATCCTACTTTTTTCTCAAAAACATCAAGGTAGCAAGATGGGTCTGTCTTTGCATTTTATATACCCTGTAGCATTAGGATTAATTGGTACAGTATACTATGCATGTAAAGAAGAGGTGTCAAAAAAAAGTCAAAATGATAGTGGTGAAGATATGAAGTCCTGCTCCATTTTCACCTGCATTGCATAGGCAACACACGTAAAAAGGAGAAAACGCTTTGACTGCACAGTTGTGGATGCAACCATGACTTTATAAAATGCTTCCTTGTCTCCCACAGGTGCCCAGGAGACTTATGAAAACTCATTAACTTCTGAAGCTGCTGCAATATGTAACAATTTGTTTAAAAAAGTAATGAACCCTAATAGCCAGAAATTTGTTTAACAAAATGTATTTGGCCACCCAATTAACAAAAGTGGGTGGTGGTTGTTTAGAATTATTCAGAGTTGGAAAGGACCTTGGAGATCTTCTAGTCCAAACCTCTGCTCAGGCTCTATACCATTTCAGACAAATGGTTGTCCAATCTCTTCTTAAAAACTTCCAGCATTGGAGCATTCACAACTTCTGGAGGCAAGTCGTTCCACTGATTAATAGTTCTAATTGT